ACGCACACGCACGTACACGCACGCACACGCACGCACACGCACGTACACGCACGTACACTCACGCACACTCACGCACACGCACGTACACTCACGCACACGCACGCACACGCACGTTCACGCACACGCACGCACACGCACGCACACGCACGTACACGCACGCACACGCACGTACACGCACGCACACTCACGCACACGCACGCACACTCACGTACACGCACGTACACGCACGTACACGCACGCACACGCACGCACACTCACGTACACGCACGTACACGCACGTACACGCATGTACACGCACGTACACGCACGCACACTCACGCACACGCACGCACACTCACATACACGCACGCACACGCACGCACACGCACGCACACTCACGTACACGCACGCACACGCACGCACACTCACGCACACTCACGCACACGCACGCACACGCACGTGTGGGTCTCTGTGAGTGTCCTCTGTGGGTCTCTGTGGGTCTCTGTGGGTGTCTCTGTGGGTCTCTGTGGGTGTCTCTGTGAGTGTCTCTGTGGGTCTCTGTGGGTGTCTCTGTGGGTCTCTGTGGGTCTCTGTGAGTGTCTCTGTGGGTCTCTGTGGGTCTCTGTGGGTCTCTGTGGGTCTCTGTGAGTGTCTCTGTGGGTCTCTGTGGGTCTCTGTGGGTCTCTGTGAGTGTCTCTGTGGGTCTCTGTGAGTGTCTCTGTGAGTGTCTCTGTGGGTCTCTGTGGGTCTCTGTGAGTGTCTCTGTGCCTGTGGGTCTCTGTGGGTCTCTGTGAGTGTCTCTGTGCCTGTGGGTCTCTGTTGGTCTCTATGGGTCTCTGTGGGTCTCTGTGGGTCTCTGTGGGTCTCTGTGGGTGTCTCTGTGGGTCTCTGTGAGTGTCTCTGTGCCTGCGGGTCTCTGTGGGTCTCTGTGGGTCTCTGTGAGTGTCTCTGTGGGTCTCCTGTGGGTCTCTGCAGGTCTATGTGGGTCTCTGTGAGTGTCTCTGTGGGTCTCTGTGAGTGTCTCTGTGGGTCTCTGTGGGTCTCTGTGGGTCTCTGGGTCTAGGTGTTGTGGGTCTCTACGAATGTGCGTATTGTACGTTGAACTTCTTTTCGTACCGTAGCGCACAGAGCGCGTCGAACTCGGATTGTAAATGTTGTGGCTTTGCTCTCCAACACACCGGTTAGTGCTGTACTAGTACACTACACTATACACTACACTATACACTACACTATACACTACACTATACACTACTACACACTACCTATACACTACACTATACACTACACTATACACTACTATACACTACACTATACACTACTACACACTACACTATACACTACACTATACACTACTATACACTACACTATACACTACTATACACTACACTATACACTACTATACACTATACTATACACTACACTACTATACACATACACTACACTATACACTACTAACCTACACTATACACTACACTACTATACACTATACACTACACTATACCTACTATACACTACACTATACACTACACTACTATACACTACACTACTATACACTACACTATACACTACACTATACACTACACTATAACACTACTGTACACTACACTATACACTGCCACTATACCTACTATGCCACTACACTATACACTACACTATACACTACATTATACACTACTATGCCATTACACTACTATACACTACACTATACACTACACTATACACTACTATACACTACACTACTATCACACTACCTATACACTAGACTATACACTACACTATACACTTATACACTATACACTACACATACACTACACTATACACTACACTACTATACACTACACTATACACTACTATACACTATACACTACAACACACTACACTATACACTACACACTATACACTACACTATACACTACACTATACACTACACACTACACTATACACTACACTATACAACTACCCTATACACTACACTATACACTACTATGCCACTACACTATACACTACTATACACACTACACTACACTATACACTACACTATACACTACACTATACACTACTATACACTACACTATACAACTACTATACACTACTATACACTACACTATACACTACACTATACACTACTATACACTACACTATATACTACTATACACTACACTATCCACTACACTCTACATACTATACACTACACTATACACTACACTATACACTATATACACTACACCTATACACTACACTATACACTACACTCTACACTACACACGACACTATACACTACACTATACACTACACTATACACTACTATGCACCTACACTACTATACACTACACTATACACTACACTATACACTACACTATACACTAGTGCGTACTAGTACACTACACTATACACTACACTATACCACTACACTATACACTACTATACACTACACTATACACTACACTACTGTATACTACACTACTATACACTACACTATACACTACACTATACACTACACTATACACTACACTATACACTACTATACACTACACTATACACTACACTACACACTACACTACACTATACACTACACTATACACTACTACACACTACACTACACTATACACTACTATACACTACACTATACACTACACTATACACTACACACTACACTATACACTACACTATACACTACACTACTATACACTACACTATACACTACACTATACACTACACTATACAATACTATACACTACACTATACACTACACTATACACTACACACACACTACCTACACACTACACTATACACTACACTACACACTACACTATACACTACACTATACACTATACTATACACTGCACTACACTACACACTACACTATACACTACACTATACACTACACTATACACTACACACTACTACACACTACACTATACACTACACTACACACTATACACTACACACTACACTATACACTACACTATACACTACACACTACACTATACACTACACACTAGTGCTGTGCTAGTGACGAATTGTCACGTTGTGTTTACGTGACAACCCTCACTAGTTGGCCGTGCCGGGTGGTGGAGGGTTTTAACGACACATTTAATATTTACGCGATCTCACCTAAAAACCTCTTACGGATGATATCGGTCGCGAAAGCCTCCTACTACGTACGTGTTGAACTGATATTTTACTGGTAGGAGCGAAGTGAACCAGCCTACAATAGATTGTATCGTCCGTCCGTCTGTCCGTCCGTGTAGCAACATCGCCCCCTACTGCAAACACTTGGCATGACCCTACAAAAACCTTTAGACTCAGTGAGGCTTTCCTGGCTAAACAAGTGTAACATTCCCTTATAATTCCCTGAGATAGTTTTTAATTAAAACATTTCAATTAAAAATTAACTCACAGCGGCCTAAAGCCTACAGCTCGGCCTAAAGCCTAGACTAGTCCTCAAACTCTCCCTTCGTATCGTACCCCCGCGTGTGTGAAAGGGAGTTAATGTTTAACAATGTTACATTCCCTCATGTTTTTAAATAGAAACATTTAAATCTAAAGCTTTTACATAAATAATGAAAACATTTAAATTAAAAATTAACTCACAGCGGCCTAAAGCCTACAGCTAGGCCTGAAGCCTAGAACTAGGCCTCAAACTCTCCCTTCGTATCGTCCGATTAGGTGCAGCAACATCGCCCCCTACTGCAAACACTTGGCAGGACCCTACAAAAACCTTTAGACTCAGTGAGGCTTTCCTGGCTAAACAAGTGTAACGTTACATTATGTTTATATTCTTTGGTTGTTCGTTCCTACCAGCCCACCCCGCAGGGACCTGTTGTATTAAACGTGTAAAGAAATTAGTTTTCCACCGAGATGATTAAAAAAATAATTGTACAGCCCCAGTGTCTTCCCGTTGTACGTGCGCCCGTCACGAGAGCAACCGCGCGAAACCGCGCGCAACAGAGAGCACTTGGGACTCTAGATTTGAAGCTTTCGTTGACTGCAAGTATTCATATTGTTAGGTTTTTTCGGCAAAGTCACGTAGATTTCGATGTAAAGCTTTCGTGACTGCAGGGATTCATCTTCTTGGTTCTTTCGGTAAAGTCACGTAGAAGGGAAGTAATAAATAAAATAATAAAAATAAAACACAATAATGTATTACTTCCCTTCTACATGACTTTACCGAAAGAACCAAGAAGATAGGAAAAAAATGTAAAATTGATAAAAGCAAGCGCCTGCTGTGACGGTTCCACCTGAAGAAGCTTGTGTTTGCCTCCGAAACGTCGTGATTTTTATTTCGATTTAAAGCTTCTTTCGTGACTGCAGCGATTCATCTTCTTGGTTCTTTGGAGCATATATATGTAGAGAAGCTACCGACGGACGTACTCGGAGACGGAGGTATGGTTAGGGGCTTCCGCCAGGGTTTATTACTCTTGGTCAAAACTACACAGGGTACACAACTCCAGGGGCTAGGGGTCCTACTCTGAGTCTGGGTCCCTGCCGGCTAGCTCCGGTCTCTCTCTCGTGTCGGATCGTGGAGTCTGCCGACTCCACCGACCGGAGAGAGAAGCACCTCTTCGGCTACCACCGGCTTCTCCCCAGACTCCCTATTTGATCCCTCTCACTATCCCTGGTTCCCTCTTCACCCTGTTTACTATCCCCGTTCCTATAGTGACCCCGCTTACGTTACGGGGTCTCCCTTATATACCCTCGGAGGGGTGATGTCGCGTGCACTGCCCAGCGCGTGCGACCCCACGTCCCGTGAGGTCACCGCACCTGACAGCGCACACGACGCCACCACTCTCCACTACTCCTCTACATCACCCCCCCCCGTAAAAAAAAACAGCCGACCCGGCTGCAATCAACCTTAGGGCAGCACGGCCCTTCAAGCAGAACAGTAACAACAAAAAAACAAAACAAATAGAGCCCGAAGGCCTCATCCGCCGGATAGCGCCGAACGGGCGCCAGGGGCTAGGCCCGCTGAACGGCCATCAGGGCCGTCACCGGAGCCGCACCCCCCCTCGAGCGGGTATGCGCTGCTGGCCCGCTCCCTCGTGCGGTGTCCGCCACCCGTGCAGGTGGGCCGTCAGCGGGCAACAGGCCCACCGCCGTGGCCTCCGGTGCCTGGGGGGTCTCTGTCGGCCTCACTCGGGAGGGGCCTGGGGCACACACACAGGTCGGACGTCACCTCCGTCAACGAGACCCGGCCGGTCAGGCACGCCGGATACATCATCAGCCGGCCGCTCCGGAATTGGGGGTGGATCCCCCAGGGTAGATGGAACATAACGTTTGAGCCGGGACGGGTGCACTATCCACTGCCTGCGACCGAATCGAATCCGGACGCATTGCGGCCGGCGGACCTCCACAACCTCCACGGGTCCCTGCCAAGGGCGATGCAATTTGGCCGATGTGCCAACGGGGACCTGGGGACAATGCAGCCACGCTTTTTGACCCGCTACCCACGGGAGGCCAGCTGCCTGGTGTTTTGGCAGCCGCTCATTAGCCGCCTGCCGGCTTGCGGAATTCTCGGCAGCGGCCTGTCGCGCCTCGCGCAGCCGGTCAAGTGCGACCTTCAAAGGGGTCGGCACCGACGACCCCTTCTTGGAGGAGCCAACGTCCATCTGACGTGCACCGGGGGCTCCGGTTCCCTACCGTACATTAAATAAAAAGGCGGAAAATCCCGTGGAGGCATGAGGGGCCAACCGATACGCCGCCAAGACCCCCGGGACGAACAGGTCCCAGTCTGACTGGGACGTGTTCACCTGGTGGCACAGCATGGACGTAAGGGTGCGGTTCAAGCGCTCTACCATCCCATCTGACTGGGGGTGGTAGGGCGAGGTGCGGATTTTCTTGGTGCCAAGGAGGTCACACACCTCCTTGAGCAACCTAGACGAGAAATTCCGCCCCTGGTCAGTCAACAATTGTTCCGGCGCGCCCTTGTCAAACACGTATCCCTGGACGAAGGCCTCGGTGATAGAAGAGGCCAACTGATCGACCAAAGGCCATGCCATGGGCCAACGTGTGAGGTACTCAACGCCCACCAAGAGGTATTTGTGGCCCCGTTGGGATGCAGGGAATGGCCCCAAAATGTCGAGCGCCACGAGCTCATTAACGCGAGAAACCCGGATGGACTGCAGCGGGGCCCGGTCCTGGACAACTGGGGCCTTCCTCCGCGCGCAGTCGTGGCAACCCTTCAAAATCAGTGCTACGTCACCCTCAACACCCGGCCAGTAATAGTCCCGCTTAAGGGTCAATAAGGTCTTGTGGTAGCCAAGGTGCATAAGCTTCTCGTGAATGGCTCGGGTTAATTTACCACGCAGGCTAGTGGGCACAACCACACAATAGCGTTCCAATTGGGCATCCCAACGCATGAGTAGTCCGTCATGCACGGCGATCGCCGGGGCAGCCGACGAAGCTAAGCTCCGGGCGTTATGTCCGACACGGCGCCGTAGCTTCAGCAGAGAGGAATCCTCCATCTGCAAGCCGGACCATACCTCCCGGGGAAGTCCAAGGCCGAAATCTGCGGTCGACGCCGCACCTGGAGGGGTGTCCGCCTCGGCCGACGCGACCAACTGGGCCGCGGCGTCCCCTGGGGCCTTGCAACGGCTAGAGCCCAGGGCGCAAGCACACCCGCCGCCTGCCGGCAATCGGGATAAACCGTCCGCATTTCCATGCTGTGTCCCCTTCCTATGGATTACATCAAAAGGGTAATCCTGGAGCACTTCGAGCCAGCGAGACAGCTGACCCGAGGGCTGACTAATCTTCAGCGAATATTGCAGGGCCGCGTGGTCGGTTCGGACCGTAAACAGCCTACCGTACAAATATGGTCTATACAACTGAACAAAATAAACTATGGCCAAAAGCTCCCTCCGGGTCACACAATATCGCTGTTCCGTCGAGGACAGAACGCGACTGCCATAGGCTACCACCCTCTCAACCCCGTCGACCACCTGGGCCAGGACAGCCCCAATTCCCGTGTCGCTGGCATCGGTATCGAGCAGGAAGGGTTTCGTAAAATCCGGGTACCCCAAGGGCGGCGCATCCGCCAAGGCCGTGCGAAGCGCCGCAAAAGCCGCCTCCTCCTCCGCGCCCCAGTGAAACCTTTGTCCTTTGGCGGAAAGGGCGTGCAGTGGCTTCGCAATTGTCGCAAAAATCGCGGACAAACCGGCGATAGTACGATGCGAATCCAACGAAGCTACGCACCTCCGCGACAGATGTGGGAGTCGGCCACGTCCGGACACAAGCCGTTTTATCCGGGTCCGTGGCGACACCTGACGTGCTAACAATGTGTCCCAAATACCTCACCGATGGTTGTAGCAAGTGGCATTTCTGGGGTTTGAATTTCAAGCCAGCAGCACGCACTTTGACGAACACCGCCTCAAGGCGTTGCAAGTGCTCGCCAAACGTACGGCCAAAAACAATAACGTCATCCAAGTAGATTAGACAAGACTCCCACTGCAGCCCCGCCAAGACCATCTCCATGAGACGCTGGAAGGTGGCCGGGGCCGAATGGAGACCCATAGGAAGCCGATTGAACTCGAACAACCCCTGGGGCGTGCGGAACGCTGTTTTGGGTCTAGAGGCCTCATCCAGTGGCAATTGCCAGAAGCCGGAGAGCAAATCTAAAGTCGAAAAGAACCGCGCGCCCGAGAGGGCGTCCAAGGAATCATCCATGCGAGGCAATGGATATGCATCAGCCACCGAGATCTTGTTCAATCTACGAAAATCGACGCAGAACCGGAGACTCCCGTCCCGTTTCTTGACTAGCACAATGGGGGCACCCCAAGGGCTAGTAGATGGGGAGATGATGTCCGCCGCCAACATTTCCTCGACAGCCGAGCGGACATGATCTTTTTCCGCTGGGCTAAAGCGATGGGAATTAAGTCGAATGGGGGCCGCGTCGCCCGTGTCTATGTGGTGGTCCAAAAGAGTAGTGCGACCCAGATCAAACTTACTTTGGCTGAACACATCGGTGAACCGTTCGATGAGGTCGCGGAGTTGCCGACGTTCCCCGAAGGACAACGAGGCATTCTCGTCGCACAACGTGGCGATCCATGATGCGTCGGGGTCCCCCGTGCGCATCACGCCCGCCACGACCCCTCCATCCGGGGCAGCGCTCTCGGGTGGAGGAGCCGGGATTGCGTGTGCCAGGACGGCGCCGGCCGGGACTATGACCGGCAAGGGTCCCGAATTGAGGACCTGCAAAAAAAGGTCCTGGCCCCCCGACACGGCTGTCAAGGCGCCCACCAACCCCTTCGTCCTTGAAAAGTAGCTTGACGGGGACAGGAGGATACCCGTCTCCGTGGAGCCCATTTCGAGCGGTTTGCGCAACCTAAGGGGTATCAGGATTTGTGACGCCGGTGGTACGGTCACCGGCACTTTATTCAAGGCCCGTACACCGGCGACCAAGGGAGACAGGACGGTAGGTGATTGTAGGAATTGCAGCCGCCTCCCTGACGGCATTTCCACACAGCCCTGGTCAACGAGAATTCGGATGGGCATCCTAGACAAAAAGTCGGTCCCCAAGAGGCATGGCACTGCCAAGGTCCTGGAGACCAAAATCGGCCCGGCCAACTCAATCTCGTCAACCCGAACCGACGCTACAACGTGGCCCAGGATGCCCAAACTGCCGCCGTTCGCGGCGACACAAGCCCCGCGAACCGGCCTTAATGGACCCACGCTGCGGGGGTAGCAGCCCAAAAATGGCCTCAGAAATAATGGTGGCCGACGCCCCCGTATCCACCAGGAGGCGAACGTGCACCCCTTGCACATATCCTGCCACCGCTGAGGAGCCGGCAGCTGCCGCCACCATCCTATGCGCAAGCGCATCCCAGTGGCGGGTCTGTCTGGGCCATTGAGGGGGTGATGACGATGGTGCACCCGACCCTTCGAGGACAACCCCATGACGATGGGCCCTAGCCCCACTAGATGCATGAGGTGAAGGGAGCGGCCGCGCAGATGATGCGTCGCGACTCGCCTGGGGCCCCGAACCCGATGCCAAGGAGGGTCTGGGAGAAGGTGGAGTCCCTTTTCCAAAGGCCCCCGGGGCATTCCGGCAGCCCCGCTCAATGTGGCCCCGCTGACCACAGCGGAAGCAGGCCACCGTGTCCGCCTCCTGTGGACGGGAAGGTCCCGGCCGCCCCCGCTGCTCCGGACGGCGACCACCCGTCCCCCTTCCTCGACGATCGGGCATCGCCAGGGCCGCGAGGGTGTCCCCCCCGTCCGGCGCCAGGATCCCCGCACACGCCGCCATCTGAGGCCGTTGGCGGAGGGAGAGGTGCGCCTGAATGTTTTCTGCGACCGCCAAGGATGTGATCTGCCGATCATTGTTGATCGACAGAGCAATTCCTAGCTCCCTTGCCAGGTCAAGCAGCTTCCCCAAGGCCATAGAATCAAGTGCCCTGCCGTACAGGTCAGGGTATGCAGCCTGCGCCAGGGCCAGGAGCGAGCAGCGGAAGGCCAGCGGCAGTTCCCCCTCCTCCCGCCGCCGCAATGAAAACTTTAGCTGCGCGGTGGACGGCGGCTCAAAAACGTTGGCCATTTGGATATAGGCCGCCGGGAGTGTAGCCCGATTGGCCGGATGGATGGACTTGAAGGCCTGCAGAGCCCTTTCGTCCAAGCAGGTCGGAAGCGCCGGCAAGGCCTCCTCCATGGACCAGCCGACCGACATGTATGCCGCGTCGAACCGGTCCTGGAAGGCCGACCAGTCGCCCCCTTGCGCGACAAACGGCGCAACGTCGGGTAACCTGCGCTGCCATTGGCCGCGCGGCGCCGCGAGGTGTGGAAGCCAAGCGGCACCTGCGGGCCACCCAGCGGACGCGACGTGTTGCGGCGGTGGCAGCATTGCGGCTCCCGCGGGCCACGCCGAAGACGCGGAAAGGTGCGGTGGTGCTGCGGCCCCCATGGGCCACGCCGTAGGCGCAGCGAATTGTGGCTGAGTTGCGGCCCCCATGGGCCACGCCGTAGGCGCAGCGAATTGTGGCTGATTTGCGGCCCCCATGGGCCACGCCGTAGGCGCAGCGAATTGTGGCTGAGTTGCGGCCCCCATGGGCCACTCCGTAGGCGCAGCGAATTGTGGCTGAGTTGCGGCCCCCTTGGGCCACGCCGTAGGCGCAGCAAAGTGTGAAGGCGCCTGCGCTTTCCGCGACCCACCGGTCAGCGGCGGCGTACGAAGCCACGGCGTCGTCCCGCGACGCGGCGAGGGACCACGGCGTTGCAGCCTCAACGGGCCACGCCGAAGACGCGGCGGTGTAATTCGGGCCTGCAGCGGCCCCCGCGGCCCACCCCGCCGGCGCAGCGAGGTGCGGGACAGCGGCCGCAGCCGCGGCAACCTCTCGCGATGCGGCGAGGCACCACGGCGTTGCGGCCTCCCCGGGCCACGCCGTAGACGCGGCGGTAAAACACGGAGCCGCGGTGGCCCCCCGCGGCCCTCCCCGCCGGCGCAGCGAGGTGCGGGACAGCGGCCGCAGCCGCGGCAACCTCTCGCGACGCGGCGAGGCGCCACGGCGTTGCAGCCTCCATGGGCCACGCCGAAGACGCGGCAGAATAACACGCAGCTGCGGCGTCATCCATGAGAAGGGACGCAGGCACGGCGAGGTGCAGAGCCGCGGCATCGCCGGTGTCCGGCCCCGTGAGCGCAGCGACAGGTTGAGCCGCGGCAGCACCCGCGGCCCATTCCGGCGGCACAGCGATGTACGGGGCAGCAGCAGCCGCCGCTGCCCACCCCGGCGGCCCGGCGAGGACGGCACGCGCGTACTTACCCTGGGCCCCCCCGGCGGGCGCCGCTTGATGTAGAGCCGCGTCGTCGCCGGCGGCTGGTCTCGCAGGAGCGGCGTGCCGAGAAATCCCGGCCGCGTCGGTGGAGAGACGCGGCGTCGCGGTCGCCATGGCAGCCGTAGCAGCGGCCGCATATGGCTCCCGAGCCAACATGGCCGCCGCGGATTGCGTCGCAGCCAACATGGCGGCCATTTCCGGTGGAGCGGTCGCTGGGGCCCCCCCGGCGGGTGCAGCTTGATGTAGAGCCGCGTCGTCGCCGGCGGCTGGTCTCGCAGGAGCGGCGTGCCGAGAAATCCCGGCCGCGTCGGTGGAGAGACGCGGCGTCGCGGTCGCCATGGCAGCCGTAGCAGCGGCCGCATATGGCTCCCGAGCCAACATGGCCGCCGCGGATTGAGTCGCAGCCAACATGGCGGCCATTTCCGGTGGAGCGGTCGCTGGGAAAACTGCGGCGCTTTCAACGTTGGCAGTTGACAGTTGCTCCCGTCCCGCGTGCGGGGCGGTTGGCTGCGTCCGCGCCTCCACCTTGGCCAACCTGGCTGTCAGCTGCCCCACCGCCTGCAGGAGCTGCTGCAGCAGAGCTGCGGGGACGCTCTCCGTCTCTGGCGGCGGCGGTGAGCTGGCACTCCCCGCAGCCGACTCCTCCCGCTCCGGCCCGCTCGTCTCCACGGGAACCGTCACCGGGGTCCCGGGCTCCGGGGTCACTGCTGGAGCCTCCTCTCCGCCTTCGGCGCCCTCCAAGTCATGTGCCGGTGGGTTCCTACGCCGTGCGCCCGCTTTATACATGTTGGCGACGGTGTAAACTTCTGACACCAGTTGTTGTATCGTAGACGGAGGTACTCGGAGACGGAGGTTGAGTTAGGGGCTTCCGCCAGGGTTTATTAACACTTATCACTATCCCTGGTTCCCTCTTTACCCCTTCCACTATCCCCGTTCCTCCAGTGACCCCGCTTACGTTACGGGGTCTCCCTTATATACCCTCGGAGGGGTGATGTCGCGTGCACTGCCCAGCGCGTGCGACCCCACGTCCCGTGAGGTCACCGCACCTGACAGCGCACACGACGCCACCACTCTCCACTACTCCTCTACATATATATAAGCTGGGCGCCCAGCTTATATATATATGCTCCAAGCACGTGTGCTGTTTCATTCAGACTCTGTCGCCTCGACAGACCTGGTCTCCACCTGAGGACGGCTGCTTGCGTTGTGGCCGAAACATCGTGAGAATTATTTTATTGTGTTTTATTAAATCCTTTATATTAAGTTCGCTTGCTTGCGTGCTTGCTTGCTTGCTT